GGACATGTTAAGAAAAACATCTCTCGATTCTTCGCCTCGAGGGCCAAGAGTCGCCAGGCCTAAGTGCGTGGCCCCCCCGTGGCAGTCGCCACACTATACTTTTTAAGATATTTAAAAATTAGGATGTTAATTACTTAATGTAAAATTAAGATAATAAATTTAGAAAATTACTGGAATGACTTTTCGAGCGTGACACGAATTAACTCGAACCGACCCATGGAATTAAAAGGATTAATATCATATTGGTCACTCCAGTGACAAATATTTAAATTAAAATTTATCTTCTCCTCGTTTTTGATTATATTACGAACTGAGCAGACTCCGAGGAGTAAAAGCTCTTTCTACAAATCTCACGTAAAAAATTGACACCCAATTTCTCCCATTGACTCCCAAATCTGTCCAATTTTAACAAAGATTTCGCACGCGATACGAATTTTCATCGTCAAACAGACTTTTCGAACAGTCTCACGGGGAAGAAAGGCAATTTTTCGAATCACGACGTTCATTCCACCCGTGAAATATGCAATTATTATGGAATCTGATTACCGCACTAGCCAGACGCGCGTTTTCGCGCTGGAAAATAGCGTGAAGAGAAACTGAACTCGGCGTTGAAAGGAAGGAACGAGACGCGGAGGTGGTGCAAAAAGAGGAAAGATCGCGGAACCCTCCCCTAGTCTGAGGCATTCACACGACTGCCTGGCGTGTAAGGTCAGAATCCACGCTCCGTGATAAAAGACGCATGGAGGTGGCTGTCGGTGGTTACCGGAGGGGTCGCTAATACTCTGAAACTCTGCTCTCCCTCGCGTCATATTCGAAACCTCCGGTATCGGGGAAGGCCCTCTTCGAAATTCCGCGTCGACATCCGCTTGATTACATGCGTCTCTCTTCCGCTTCGTTTCCGAATAGGGACCCTTTTCTACCGACGTTGAAAATTTCTTTCTACGGATCGTCTCACAGAGCTCGTGCTCTTTCGGATCAGATTCGGAGTGATTTCGCTTAAACGATCCCTCTTCACGACCAACCACTTAGTCGTGCAAATTCGACGCGAATTTCTACCGAGGAAAATTCACTCATTAGACCTTTTTGTTATTTTCTCGATGGATGTACGGAGGTTTTGGGATGCTTCGTCGGAGAGTTAGAGATATCGTTTGAGGCTATTCATAGGGATATTAGAAACGGACTAGTGTTGATATTCTTGAGTGTATTTTCTTATCATTTGATGTGTAAATGTGTCAACCCTTTGATTTATGATTTTTAGTACTGAATTAGGTAAGGGAAACTAATGGGCAAAGGGTTCACATTTCCAAAATAAAAATTTCTAAAGGTACAGGAATTCAAATTAAAATCTCTAAAATTACAGGAATTAAAATTAAAATTTCTAAAATAGCAGGTTTCAAAATTAAAATTTCCAAAATTACAGGAATTAAAAATACAGTCTGTCGCACAAAAGCGTAGCCATAATATATGGAAAAGTTGATTCCAAATGCAGGGAAGATTGTGATAATCTAACTACACACGGTCTTTCTCACTGCACGCTTAAAGTCTCTTACAATTAGTATCGTTTGCGTCATTGAGAAGCACGTATCGTACGCTAAGCGCTTTTTAAGCGATCTTCCCGCGTTCTCACCCAAAAGAACCGAAAAGTACTTTAGTGAATGCAGTTAAATACTCGTATAAACCTACAGAGTTCATTAGGAAGCAACTACAGTAGTACAAAGCAACCAACTGAAAGTTCACGAATAAGTCTGAAACAAAGAGTAAATAACAGACGAAACAAACTGAATAATCTCACAATCAGTGTACCGATTTTAATCTGACTGAGAATTTGAAAGGAAACGTCAAAAATGAAATTTC